GAAATTCGACTCATTCATGATTGATCATCAATTCAAGAAGACATCTGCGGATCAATGCGTATTCATGAAAAGGTTTTCTGAAGGAGATTTTATCATCCTACTGCTCTATGTGGATGATATGTTGATCGTTGGTCAAGATCCTGTGAAGATTGACAAACTGAAGGGGGAACTGAAGAAGTCTTTTGCAATGAAAGACTTAGGAGCAGCAAAACAAATTCTCGGGATGAAGATCACTCGAGACAGGAAGAATGGAAAGCTTTGGCTATCTCAAGAAGAATACATCGAGAAGGTTCTTGAGAAATTCAACATGAGCAAAGCTAAACCAGTCTCCTCCCCACTTGCGAGCCACCTCAAGTTAAGCTCCAAGCAAAGTCCGGCCAACGAAAGGGAAAAGGAAGAAATGAAGAAAGCTCCATATGCATCTGCGGTTGGAAGCTTGATGTACTCTATGGTATGTACCAGACCTAACATATCACATGCTGTTGGTGTTGTCAGTCGATTCCTTTCAAATCCGGGAAAGGAGCATTGGACTGCCGTTAAATGGATTCTCAGATACTTGAGAGGTACATCAAAGTTATGTCTATGTTTTGGAGGAGGTAAGCCTGAGCTAGAGGCTTATACAGATGCAAATATGGCTGGTGATGTTGATTCTAGAAAATCAACTTCAGGATACTTGATGACGTTTGGCGGTGGAGCTGTTTCATGGCAATCAAAATGTGTTGCATTATCCACTACCGAGGCAGAGTTTATCGCAGTGACAGAAGCTTGCAAAGAAACGTTATGGTTAAAAAGGTTCTTGCGAGAGCTTAATATAAAGCAAAGCAAGTATGTAGTGCAGTGTGATTCTCAAAGCGCCATACATTTGAGTAAGAACTCAACTTTTCACTCAAAATCCAAACATATTGATGTTCGGTATCATTGGATTCGAGATGTGCTGGATCAGAAGATTCTTCACCTGGAGAAAGTCCACACAAAAGAAAAGGCCCAATTCCAAAAAAAAGCACGAACTTTGGGTTTAGTCCCAAATCTGGCCCGAACTTTATTTTGTCTAAAAAAAAATCACCAACTTTTATTCGTGCCCCAAATCTGGCCCCCTTTAACTCTCCATCCACTCTCACCGTTAGTCATCCGACGTGGCATTTCCACGTCAACAATAATATCCACGTCAGCAATTAAGGCACAAATACATATACTGATGTACACCTGGGCGCTTTCTCTTCTTCATCTCCTTCCCACGATTTTGTCTTTAGGGTTTTCTTTCTTCTTTCTTCATCTGATACGCGAGCGACAGGCTTCGATTCGTCTGAAGATCTCGCGCGCTCTCCCTCGCGCGCACATCCTCTCACACGAAGTGACTCGCTCTCACGCTCGGCCGTTTAGAGACTTGTTTCCGTCGGGAATTTTGAAGATTTCGTGCGCGTTCGATCAAGACCAAGCGAGCAAAATCTAGCGCGCTTGGTCGCTCAGAGACATCAACTCGTCTGAAGAGCGAGCGCGCGAGATCTTTGCGCGCTCGCTCGCTCACTCATCCTCTCACACGGAGTCGCTCACTCTCACGCTCGGCCGTCGAGACTTGTTTCCATCTGAAATTTTTAAGATTTCGCGCGCGTTCGGTCAAGATCAACCGAGCAAAATCTCGCGCGCTTGGTCGCTCAGAGACATCAACTCGTCTAAAGAGTGAGCGAGCGAAGATCTCGTGCGCTCGCTTGCTCACTCATCCTCTCACACGGAGACGCTCGCTCTCGCACATACTCGTGCTCGTTCGGTCGAAGGATGCTCGCTTAAGGGTCGAAGCGGACAGAGCGTTGAAGTCATTGAGCAGAAGGTATTCTTCTTCTTCTTCCTCCTATGCATTTGGACATATTAAATTACGATCACCATATGCTTGATAATCTGTCTAGAAGTGATTTAACTCACAGAATCTAAAGTCAGTGCTCCATCCGTTGTTGCATCTGAGTATAGTTAAACATTTTCATGTAAATGTGGAAGACTAGGAGAGTTATAATGCTCTTAGTGAAGATGGAACAACAGTCTCTTTGAACACTCTTTCGGTCAGCAAGGATGCCAAATACTTGGCTTATGTACTTAGTTCCAGTGGAAGTGATTGGGTGACGATTAATGTTATGCGGGTCGAGGATAAGAAAGTTGAGCCTGATAAATTATCATGGTTGATGATTTGGAATTTGGCTTCCTTAATGTAAGGCTACATTCGATTGAAACTTAGACGAGTGGTCATACTGGTGACAGGTTAAATTTTCATCTATCAATTAGACCCATGATGGCAAAGGCTTTTTCTACAGCCGCTACCCAGCTCCTAAGCAAGTACCCACGACAATTTTAAAACACCCGTCGAAATGCTAGATGATTGAAATGGATGAGGAAATTTTTAACAAGAGAAGAAGGGATGTGGAAGGTAGTCTTAGGATTTAAAACAGTACTTGTGTTTTAATATCAATCGATAATGTGAAAATTGGTAACACCATGTATTATTTTACATCATTCATATGTCCTGCATATTTGGACTAATGTCATAAAAGAAGCTGAGAAGGATGTGCTGCAATCGGCTTCTGCAGTCAATCATAACCAACTGATAGTGAGTTATTTGATTGATGTGAAATACGTGGTGCAGAGAAGGGATTTAAAACCAGGTTCTTCGCTGCATCAATTGCCCATCGACATTGGGACAGTTTATGGTATATCTGGCCGGCGTGAAGATAGTACCATCTTTATTGGCTTTACTAGTTTTCTTTCTCCCGGCATCATATATCGAGTGTGATCTACGAGAATGAGATTCCGAGATATGAAGATCTTACGTGAAATTGTAGTTTCGGATTTGATCGTTCAGAGTTCCATGTCAATCAGGTAAATAAGAATGTTCACCTGTCAGTAATGGATATTTTGTTAACACTATCAGCTCCACGTTCTTTTCTTGAGTTTGGAAACTGTTTTTGTTGCCTGGTGCTTGCCTTTTCTTTTGTATAGAGGTCACAATGATAACTGTACTTTTCAACTTCTGTTGGATTGGGTTTCCTGTTAAATTGCTATGTTGAATGTTAACAGCTTCTGCCACAGTCGCATCTAATGGTGCATGGTCAGATTTACTAGTTTTACTATATTCAACTTTCAGGTTTTTGTGTCTAGTAAGGATGGCACCAAGATACCAATGTTCATAGTATCTAGAAAGAATATTTCTTTGGATGGATCACACCCATGTTTGTTATATGGTTATGGCGGATTCAACATTAGCCTCACACCATCCTTTAGCATCAGTCGTACTGTACTCACAAGACACTTTGGAGCTGTTTTCTGCATAGCAAACATTCATGGTGGCGGCGAGTATGGAGAGGAATGGCACAAAGGAGGGTCCTTGGCAGAAAAACAGAACTGCTTTGATGATTTCATCTCTGCTGCTCAGTACCTCATTTCTGCAGGTTATACCCAACCCAAAAAGTTGTGCATTGAAGGGGGAAGCAATGGGGGACTTCTTATTGGAGCTTTGTATAAATCAGGTTTTGTAACTACCAGTTGATTCTGTTGGCTTGCTTGATTGGGTAGCTCCATATTTATCTAAAGCTTGATTGTTGTCAGAGACCTGATCTTTTCTGCTGTGCTTTGGCTCATGTTGGTGTTATGGACATGCTGCGATTTCACAAATTTACTATTGGTCAGTCTCCCTCTCCCTGTGTGCGTGAACATATTCGCGCACTACTTGCTTGTCGTGCATTCGTGATTTGTCAGTGACTTTATTTATTGTCTCATACAACCACAGGGCATGCATGGACTTCTGATTTTGGTTGTGCGGACAAAGAGGAAGAATTCCTGTGGTTGATTAAGTAAGTTTGTCCTTCACCTTTACCTAAGGTTTTAGCTCTGTTCAATGCTTTTGTGTAGGAAGAACTTGAACGCCGTTGGTTTCATTGGTGACTGAATAAACTCGTTGGATGCACACACAGAATCTTTTATCCGCCCCGCTTCTGGGAAACTTTTACCTCTCCGCATCTGCATGGCGCCGGGATTTTTCCGGCCCTCATATGTTGTTTGGCCTCACATTGCTCCTTTTAATCCCAGAAGTTTTATCTGTTTATTTACCATGATTAACAGGAATTGCTGATTTATGTCTTGTTAGGTACTCGCCGTTGCATAATGTGAGGAGGCCATGGGACCGATATCCGGATGGTAAAAATCTCTCTTTTCATTTAACACCATAGTACGTTAATGAAAATTACGTGCCTTCGCGGTCGTTGATTTTTCGTGGCTTCTCTTTTAGTGCAGATCGATGAAGCTGCCGATCTCTATGGTTTCATGGCGAAGATGCTGGATGCTTCCTAGATCGAGTAGATGAAGTCGATCAATCGATCATAAAATGCCGTGTTTCTTGTGTAGTTTGACATTCAGGATTGCAGTTTAAGTTGATTCGCTCTCTTTCCTGTAGACTTTGTAGATAATTGATTGTTAATCATTAGTTTCACAATGTCTGGGGAACTTTCTCTGGGGAACTTTCTCTCGAATTGTAAACCAAACACATTGTGATAGTAGGACAAATAGAACAACAGAATGATGCTACTAAGAAGCTTTGCAGCTTAAGTTGGATTCTCTTCTTTCTTGAAGCCATTGTCACTGCGATTGCGTTTGATTGCTTTGGGGGATGAGCAGAGCGACAATCTAAACTCATGCCTAAGCTAAATTGACATCAAGCATGCATCAAAGTCCATAACCACAAGAAAGAAAAAGGTTCACTGTGATTGGTTCCATCAGGCCAAGAGATCATGCACTTTCTAGCCAAAAAAAAGAAAAAGAGGAAACCTTGTCCTTCATCTTCAATTGCTCGAGAAACCATCCAATGCATTCGTTTTTTCTAAGAAAGATTTCAGTCAAAAGACATCCAGTTTGACATCAGTAACATCAAGCTGGAGTATCTCAGCTTAACGTCGATATCAGTTGCTCAAGGAATTAACTCACATAACTGGTGAACAGGAAAAGCAGAGTGGAGAAGCAGAGTCTAATGGAAGCTTTCAAATCATGTGCATATGGTTTTAGTCAAAAGCAGAGTGGCAAGCTTTCCAGATCAGCGCACATAGTGCACAGCCAAAACATCACATATACAAAATGACATCGCCAAATTCCCAAACACATAATGCATAGCCAAATCTACTTACAAACAACAAAAAAACTAGCACTTTTTGTCTACAACTCGACATCTAGTAGGAGGCACTGCACAAGCATTTTCTGGTCCACAATTTCACAGTTAACCACCAATTCCAGATTCTTGAGTGTATGGAGGTTCTGAGATATCAGTGGAAGATTGGCCTAGTGAAACTTCAATAACATTCCTTGCTCTTGTTTGTCCCTTGGAAATGGATGGACCTCCAATGTCAATAACTCTATTACTACCCGGCATCTGCAATAAAAAAAAATAAACATATGAACTTGCTTTTCTTTTCGATACACTTATAAAACGTTAGACATAGATTACCCTTAAATAGGAATTCCCAGTAGCTTCAGATATGAAAAGTCCATATCCATGTCTTGCCTAAAGAAACAAAATGAGCACAAAACATTAATCACACACAATATACACGTGGTATGAAAATAAAATTTTGCCTGATAAAGCACTAGCCTGTGCTCTCTCCTTCCTAATGATAATGGAGTCCCCATTAGATGGTCCATTGGCTTGTGAACTAGCTTGCGCACCACTAACCCCATCAGCTTTCTTTGGTCTTCCTCTTCTTGCCTACATGTGAAAAAACACAAGAAATACCAATGATATCATTTGTGATAACCCAACAAAAATCTTATCAACAATTACAAAATTGTCCAATAAGACATACTTTGGGTGGTCTGGATGTTGTAGGATTCTTGCATGTCTTCTTGTTATGTCCATATTGAAGGCAATTTGAACATCGCATTTGAACTCCAACTTTCGTCAATTTCTTACCTTCACTACTTCGCTCATCTTTATCCTTGATTCTATTTTTCTTCTCTCTACCCCTTTTCCTTCTGTAAGGTGGGGGTTTGATTGGCTCACCATTGACTTTGGGCCACATTTTTTCCCCATTCATGACCGGGAAGGGAAATTGATAACATTTTCCATAAGCATCTTTCTTAAAGCAATCATCAACATAATAATTGATGTCTAATTTCATGAAAGCAATGCAACATATGGCATGTCTACATGGTATACCAGAAATATCCCATTCCCTACAAGCACAAGTCTTCCCAACCAAGTCAACCACAAATCTATTGCCATCCCCTTCAACCTCAAATTTATTTCCCAAAGACGCTCTAGCAAAACAATACCTGGACTCCAGTTTAGTCTTCTCCAACTTCATTCTAATCCTTGGACAAATTGGATCCATTTGATCAACCATTAACCGGCTTCTCTCTGTCATTCTCTCCATCAACATAGCTCGTATTTCTTCAAGCATCTCAAGAATGGGTTTTGCTCTCGGTATGCAAATGTATCCATTAAAGGTCTCACTTAAATTATTTTCAACCGCATCACACTTGGTACCTGTCTTGATGAAAGCCCTGCAGAAGTGCTTAGGGCCTTGTCTCATGAAGTCTTCATAACCTTTAGGACACTCCATCTTCAAATCTTCCATTACCATGTCAAAATCAGCTTCAAATGTACACCTCACAGCCCTCCAAAAGAGATTCTTCAAAGCATCCCCTTTGTGTAATTTTTTCCAATTAGCATATATATGTCTTGCGCAATTTCGATGCTCTGCTTGTGGAGATAGCCATGAAACTGCATTCATTAGTCCCTACAACCAAAATAAACCAATGAAAAACAAACACGTCACAACAATGCTTGTACCAATATAGTGTAATAGCCAATGAAGACAAATGCGACATATTACCTTTTGTTGATCACTGATAAAAGTCCAACCTTCACCTGTGTCCACATTCAAGTCAATAAATAACCGAGCGAGAAACCAAGTCCACGATGCCTCGGACTCAACTTCCGCAATTGCCCAAGCTATTGGAAACATTTGATTGTTTCCATCTCGTCTAACGGCACATAACAACATACCTTTCAATCCAATCTTAAGGAAGCACCCATCCAAGCCTATCACACGCCTACATCCTACTAAAAACCCCCTTTTCAATTCATCAAAGCCCACTAAAACCTCTCAAATACTTTGGTTCCTAGGTTAACCTCCATCTCAAATCTTCCATTTTTGCTAACTCTCTTAAGCTCCTCCAAATAAGATCTTAGCATATCATATTGCTTCCCTATCGGCCCCCTTATATAACTAAGAGCTTTCCATATGGCTCTATAACATCTTTTTTTATCAAGGGTCAGGGCAAATCTTTCTCTTGCATCTGTCTGCATTTCGGTAGCCGAATAAGTGAGTCTAACTCTAATCTTAGGCATGTACTCACGAGCAAGCCATGTAGAAGTGGCTTGCCTATTTGTAAGGCTTCTATTGCAGTTATGTGGATTTCCAACTCTCTTTATTACAAAAGTTTTCTCATCTTGAACCCAACTGCCATACAACCTCCAGCCACAGCCACTTACACACTTTGCTTCCATTCTTTTCTTTTGACTCATTTGCCAAAAAATGTTAAATCCATTCATTACAGCATATTTTTGCACAGCTATCTTGAACTGTTCATGAGATTCAAATCTCATACCTAGACTAAACACATTCTCGTTATGGTCACACATAGGATCATACCTGTTAACCATTCGTCCAGTCGTGCCACTAATTTCTTCAAAGTTATCAATATCAGGACCACTTAGAGGTTCATCATCCGATATTGCATCTTCATCATCATCCCCACCTTCGTGTGGAACAACACCAACCTCCTCCTCCATTCTTATATCGATGGAACCTTCAGCTAATTCTCCACCATCATCTACCTCCTCAATTGTTGCTTCCCTAAAATCTTTCCTCATCTCCCTTGTCTTGATCTCTTCATCATCTGATATATTTATTTCATCATCACACAAGTCTAATGAACCATCCTCGCTGTCACTTTCATTCTGTGAAAAAGCACACTAAGTCAGACGTTGAAAACTAAAAAAAATATTTAAACGTAAAAGGCCAACAATTGAATGAACTCACCATTGTTTCTTGTTCAACCTACAACACTTCAATTTTCCACGAGCAAAACAATGGTGACCTGGAACCCCAACTGGCCCAATCCTATAAAGAAAGTATAATAAAAAATTGGACATTTGAAGTTCAATGTTGAACTCATCACACTAATTAAATACCCAGTAAGACAACGATAGCTTTGGTAATTGTACGGCATAATAAGCAGTTATGACACACTTCACATTAGGAAAAATGTTTCACAAAACAACAGCTTATTGATTAGAAACTTTAAAGAAAAAATAAGTTATGGCTCCTAATTTCCTCATCCATTTCAATCATCTAGCATTTCGACGGGTGTTTTAAAATTGTCATGGGTACTTGCTTAGGAGCTGGGTAGCGGCTGTAGAAAAAGCCTTTGCCATCATGGGTCCAATTGATAGATGAAAATTTAACCTGTCACCAGTATGACCACTCGTCTAAGTTTCAATCGAATGTAGCCTTACATTAAGGAAGCCAAATTCCAAATCATCACCCATGATAATTTATCATGCTCAACTTTCTTATCCTCGACCCGCATAACATTAATCGTCACCCAATCACTTCCACTGGAACTAAGTACATAAGCCAAGTATTTGGCATCCTTGCTGACCGAAAGAGTGTTCAAAGAGACTGTTGTTCCATCTTCACTAAGAGCATTATAACTCTCCTAGTCTTCCACATTTACATGAAAATGTTTAACTATACTCAGATGCAACAACGGATGGAGCACTGACTTTAGATTCTGTAAGTTAAATCACTTCTAGACAGATTATCAAGCATATGGTGATCGTAATTTAATATGTCCAAATGCATAGGAGGAAGAAGAAGAAGAATACCTTCTGCTCAATGACTTCAACGCTCTGTCCGCTTCGACCCTTAAGCGAGCATCCTTCGACCGAACGAGCACGAGTATGTGCGAGAGCGAGCGTCTCCATGTGAGAGGATGAGCGAGCAAGCGAGCGCACGAGATCTTCGCTCGCTCACTCTTTAGACGAGTTGATGTCTCTGAGCGACCAAGCGCGCGAGATTTTGCTCGGTTGATCTTGACCGAACGCGCGCGAAATCGTAAAAATTTCAGATGGAAACAAGTCTCGACGGCCGAGCGTGAGAGTGAGCGACTCCGTGTGAGAGGATGAGTGAGCGAGCGAGCGCGCAAAGATCTCGCGCGCTCGCTCTTCAAACGAGTTGATGTCTCTGAGCGACCAAGCGCGCTAGATTTTGCTCGCTTGGTCTTGATCGAACGCGCACGAAATCTTCAAAATTCCCGACGGAAACAAGTCTCTAAACGGCCGATCGTGAGAACGAGTCACTCCGTGTGAGAGGATGTGCGCGCGAGGGAGAGCGTGCGAGATCTTCGGACGAATCGAATCCTGTCGCTCGCGTATCAGATGAAGAAAGAAGAAAGAAAACCCTAAAGAGAAAATCGTGGGAAGGAGATGAAGAAGAGAAAGCGCCCAGGTGTACATCAGTATATGTATTTGTGCCTTAATTGCTGACGTGGATATTATTGTTGACGTGGAAATGCCACGTCGGATGACTAACGGTGAGAGTGGATGGAGAGTTAACGGGAGCCAGATTTGGGGCACGAATGAAAGTTGGTGATTTTTTTTTAGACAAAATAAAGTTCGGGCCAGATTTGGGACTAAACCCAAAGTTCGTGCTTTTTTTTGGAATTGGCCCCAAAAGAAAATGGGTCAGATATGATGACAAAGGCGCTGCCTCTCAACAAGCTCGAGGTGTGCAAAGCGAAGGCGGGCTTGACCTTAACCCCACATAGGTCGAAGGGGGAATTTGTTGGGAATTGCCTCCCTATGTGGGTGGCTCAAAACTAAGAAGAAAATCTGGAGAGAATCTTCTTAAATATTCTCTTGGAGAAAAATCTGGAGAAGCTCTCGAAGAATGTTTCAGAAGAAGAATTATTGGAATGGTTAAAGAATATTTTCAATTCTAGAACCTTCCCGTCAACCCTTAAAAAAAGGGGGGGCTTGGCATTTGAGGGATGATGATCACACACAAAAAAAGGGGGTCAAGGAAAAGAGATCGTGTGAGACAGAGAGAGAGAGAGAGAGAGCCACAGTGTGAAGAAATTGTAGTGTAATCCTCTAGTTGCGACTAGAGAAGAGATTCATGTTGTAATCCCATTATTCATATAGTGGAGTTATTGTTCGGTGGTTGCTCCGTGGTTTTTCCCTCAGATTTTGAGGGTTTTCCACGTTAAATTCTCGTGTCGTATACATTTCTTCTTCCTTGCATCGTTCCTTTTGTTTGAAGATCTTAACATATCGGTGTCTCGGCACAATAAATAATATATAAGAGAAAAATAAATTAAATTCTTTGTCGATGAGTTTAGATTTATTGATTTATATATCAAACTACATCCTAATTAATAACTTATGAGGCAAATTGATGTGGATATATTAATTTAGAAATATCATACCAAATTAAATGAGATGATTAGATTTTTTTCTAAATAATGTATAGTAATACGTCTAATTAATGTTACGGAAGCAGGAGGGAATGGAGCTTTGTGATGGCGTGGCTAAACTATACAAAGCTCCATTCAACCCAAATTTCTTATTATTTATAGATTTTTACTAATCCTGGAAAATTTACACAAAATAACAATAAATAAATAAATAAAAGCAGTCAGAGGAGGAGATCACATATAAACCCAAATGATCTGTGTTTCTTGGTCTTTATTCTTGCATTCTTTCACAAATATAACATTTCTTTTTTCTTTCAAACTAATGTGAAGCTACGGTGCGTATTGAATTTATATGGTTACGGGTGGAACACATTCTTTGATTATCCTGTCACATAATCCGATCTAAGCTCCTCAGGTATATATTTCCACTGTTGAAATATTTAACAGCGACGCGGGCATTTCGAGCAGCACAATTGTTACTGTTCCAAGCACATCAGTTAAGTGATCCTCATGGGATGTCTAGTGAGCCTGCCCTGGGATACAGCCTTCTTGTCTCAGTGCTGTATGATTCTGGGAACCGACCAGGAGTTTGCGAGATTCTTCCATTATCTTGCTAAGGATGTCAGGTTCCTTCGTAGCGCGAGCTACTTGTCACAGTTCTTCGGGCAAGTGACTAGATACCACCAAAACAAATGGCACGCGAGATGGACAAGGATCAAGTGCACGTACTTTGGCAGCCCTTCGTCCTTCATCTCGATTGCTTTTGTTTTTTGGATTCCATTTGTTTCACGAAAAATATAATAATTCTAGAATATATTCTTCAAGAAGTTATTTTCCAGGAAAATGACGGTATTTTTCCGGTGTTTGATAGAAACCTGAAAATGAACCGAAAAATGTTTTCCGTCGTTTGGTAAGGAAAATTAGATAGACATACATTATTGGGGTGTTAGTGATTTGCGCATAAGCGTCCAGAGGATTGGGTACTGGTACCAGGGTCCCAGGTCCGGCCTTGATAGACCCCAATCAGGGCGTCGGGGACCCGGTCTGACCTCGATGGACCAGGGCGTGAATGTTGAGAACCCTGGCTCGGGCACCAAGATCCTGGAGTTGACCTCAATGGACACGTGCTTGGCCTCAATGGACCTAGGCGTGAGCACCAGGGTCTCGAGCGTAGCCTTAATTAAACTAGGTGGGCGCTAGGGTCCTAGACTTAGCCTCAATGGACTCAGGCCTCGGGCCTAAGTACCGGGGACCCAAGTAGGGATGTCGTCCGATGTCCAGGCGCCAGGGTCCTGGGCATGAGAAATGAGGTCCTAGGCCCGACCTTGATGGACACGACACTGGCGCCAGGGATCCGAGCCTAGCCTTGATAGACCCTGGCCCAAGCACCAAGGTCCTGAGCCCAGCCTCGATGCACACAGGCCTAGGCACTAGGGACCTGGGCACTAGCACTAGGGTCACGATCTTGACCTTGATGGACCCAATCTCGGGCGCGGGGTCTTGAGCCCAAGTGTTAGAGATCCGAGCACAAGCATCAAGGACTCAGGCTCGGCCTTTGTGGACCTGGGCCGGGCCGCCAGGGAGTCTGGCAATGGTACTGTAGTCTTAAGCCTGGCCATGGGCGCTGGTGTCTCGAGCCCAACCTCTATGGACCTGGACCCAAGCACTAGGGTTCCGGGCTCAGCCTCTAGACTCGAGTCCGCTATCAAGGGCCCGAGAACAAGCAAGCGTTGGGGTTCCTGTGCCCAAACGTAAAAAATTCTATCCAAGCGTCAATAATTAGTCAAATTTTGGAAAATGATTTCCTATTTTCAGAAAGGACATCACTTTCCTGAATTTAAACATAAATTTTTCGTTGATTAGGAAAATATTATCCGTTATTTCATTTTCTTTAAACGATCCAAATGTTGGAAAATGTTTAAACGGAGCCTAGTTTTTACTGTCATTCTGGCCTTTTGGCCATTTACGTGCATTATTATCTCAACAAGTAACTTACCTCAGAAACTCAGTTTTAGAAACATATTTAAAGAAATCTTATCAGACCAATGTAATTTATGAAGTACCGGTTTCATTTTTTGATAACACTTTGCTGCTACTCTTAATTTGCTTCCTAGACCGGGCGCTACCACATGGAACTAGTCCACGAGATAATTTAAGGTACGACGAAGAGCATTTTACTAACTGCAGGATTTGACAATTCTAGAGGACTTACTAAATGCTAGCCTGCTGATTGAAATTAGCAGACTATAATTCTTTTACAACGTGATTGTTGACTTGAAAGCAGCACCAATCACTATTTGATGAAGTGAACAAGTCACCCGGTTTCCAATTGCACGCACCAATAATGTGAATGCCATGCATCTTGTTACAGCTGGGAAGATGGCAACCTTCGCCCACTTTGGCACAGTACATATTTGAAGAAATTATGTCATTCAAACTGAAAAATTTTCTTTATTGAAGGACTTTCCTAGCAATTGACATACAGGTCTTGAATTTTTTTAGTCCGATCATCTCCTACTGGATGCATATCCTCAGTTCTACTTCATAGACCATTGAAAGTTGTAGTGGACAATGATGGAGAGGAAAAACTTCGAACTTACTCTAATCAAGCATAACGACCGAAGTTCAGTGAAAACGATACCATTGCGAAAGTCTTGACAGCAAGTCATCCCAAAACTGATAATATGCACGCCTCCATGAACGGATAGATATTAGCGTACCACAAAAAACCCAGAGGCTGACAACAAATCCGAGTGGCATGCTCATGTAAAACGACTTCATGTCAATCCAGCCATTGTCCTCGTGATGTGTGGACTTTTAGTTCGAACAGCATCTGCTTCTTCAGTATTGGTAGTTATTGGGCAACTTTTGTCCAGTGGAAACCCGCATAGTCCTCCATTACCTTCAAACGAACCTTCTGAAAATTTGAGAAACTGTTTGCTTGCTGGGATTTTACCAACAAGTTGATTATATGAGAGGTTCAGGAATGAAAGGAAGTTCAGATCTGAAAGCTGCACTGGAATGGTCCCACTGAGGTAGTTCTGTGACAAGTCTGGGGACTCGAGCTGCTGTATTTTTCCTAATGAGGGCGGGATAGGCCTGAAAGCACATTGCGAGACAGGTCGAGAAAATAGAGTGCTCGGAAATCTCCCAAGGCTTCTGGTATTGGACCTTCAAATCTGTTGCTTGAGAAGTCGATCGAGGTGAAAACATTTAGGATCGTCATTAGTTCTAGCTGCAGACCTTTAAAAGTAAGCCTAACTGTGTCCCGATAATAGAGCTTGCTCCACCGAAGAAACTGATATTGAAGATGGTTAAAGTGGAAATTAACCTTCATGGCCCACCAAGACGTCAGGAAATCTTCAGGAAGCATACCACTGAAATTGTTGAAAGATAGGTCAACAATTTGAAGCATCTTCCATGTGCCATTAATGACGGGACAACCAATTTGCCCGGGGAATTTGTTGGAATGTAGAACAAGAACTTTCAGGGTAGATATGTTCTTCAACTGACACGGGAATAAATCCTTAATCCGATTTTTTCCAGTGTCTAACACCTCTAACATGGAACATTTAGCCAAAGAAATCGGGAGATTTCCTGTTAAGAGATTACCATTAACATCCAAAGTCCTTAAAAGGTATGTGGCTGGTAATGCATGCGGAATTCCTCCAGTCAGGTTGTTATTCCTCGAGTTCAACACCTTGAGAGTCTTTAACATTAAGCACTGAGGGATGGTTCCCATCAAATGGTTGTTGGAAAGGTCAAGTACCTCGAGATACAGGGCTTCGCAAATTGATTCTGGGACGGGGCCATGAAAATAATTGTTTGAGAGAGAGAAGAAAATTGTGAAAACCAGGTGTTTTCCAATATCATTTTGAAGAACTGAACTGAAATTGTTACTCGAGAAATCCAGGTAGGCACCATTCGGGGGCAGAGGTAACGTTTTCCCCTGGAGCTTGTTTTTGTGGAGGTCAATAACAGACAGACTAAAAGTGAGATTAGGTAAAGGTTCTCCCAATTTATCGAAGAAATTGAAAGAAAGATTGACATAAGAAAGAAATTTACTCTCCCATATCCATTTTGGTATCTCTCCTTGAATTTGATTGTCGGAGAGGTCCAGATAGCGTAATATGGGTAGATTTTCCAAGAATATCAGGTAACGAACTCAGCTGACAGGAAGCCAGGTTTAAAGTGGACAGAGTAGAGAAACCGAACACAGCAGAAGTGGAAGCAGTAGCATTAATTGACAAACGATTGTGGGAAAGATCGAGATATGTAAGGTTCTTGAGCCGCTGAAACACATCAATGTGCAATGAGCCACTGAAATTATTAGAAGAAAGTGAGAGGTAGCTAAGCCACCGGAGTTAAAAACATACGCTGGTATGGGCCCCTCTAAATTGTTGCTGCTCAAATCAAGCAGGGTTAGTTGACAGCAAGTGACATTGAGAGACCCACTCAGCTCACCAGAAAACTGATTGTCGGACAATTTTATGATCTTGACCGAAGGAAGTATAAATAGAGACGGGGGAATGCTGCCCCCCAGTGAGTTGTACTGCAGATCTAGATATACAAGGCTTAGAAGTTCTGCCCATCGGGTGGACTTAATCTCTCCTGTTAGAGCATTGCGGAATAACATAATCTGTCTCAGATTCTTGGACATACTGAACGAAGGAACTGAACCAGTAAGATCTGTTAAATATGTCTTGAATTTTATGTACTCGGTCCGGTTCATCACCCGACTCGACATATTTTTTGTGCGACCCAAAAGGGGAGAAAAAATTGAGATTAAGTTCGTGACGCAGAGAGTTGGGAAATTTTTTGGGTAGCCTTATTTATACCGCGGCTAGGTTTTCTCATTGATGTAGAGAGAATTTTGTTTTCGGAGATATTTGTAAGCCGTGAGGTTTTGTTAAGTCGTTGTTTCGACTTCTGAAAACTGTACTCTCTTTGATTATAGTGGAATCTTGTTTTGCCTCGCCCATGGACGTAGATCACCTTGTGATCGAACCACGTAAATCCTTGTGTTCTGAATTTGTTTTTCCGCATTTGTTTCTAACAAGATCATTTAAAGACAAGTCCAAATAAGTCACAGCTCTGACAGGTTCTCCATCGAGCTCAGGATCGATCCGCTCAATCTGCAATTAGACAATTCCAATCTCGACAATTTTCTAAGATTACCAATTGAATCTGGAAGCCTCCCTGAAGTACTCTTGTAACTCAGGACCAGAGTCTCAACAGAACTATCCTCCGGAAATTTGGGCAAAGGACCCTGAAGAAGTTGGTTGCCTGATAAGTCAAGGATCTGAAGTGTCTGCACCTGAAAGATTTTACTAGGAAACTCTCCATACAATCCACAATAACTCAGACGCAGAGTAGTTAGATTGGTGAATCTGGCGAGGAACTCAGGAACCGTGGTTGACAGGTTGCTGCCATTGAGTTGAATGAATGACAAATGATGTAGATTCACGAGGGAAGAGTCAACAGGACTAGAGAGAAAGCAGTTAGACATGCTCAGCACCTGAAGTTTTTGCACTGAAGAGGACAATGCATTGCACCACTCATTTCCCTCGGAAGACAGGTCAACGCCATCAAGATGTAACTGTCCTAGCTCTGTGAGATTACCGATCAAGGTCTTGAAATTGGGATTCTGGAGCTTTAGTGTATCAGTTCCAGGGAAATAAAGAAGAGAAGGATCAAGAATGCTTAACTTCCTCAAGCGCGCTAACTCTATTGGAATTTGCCCGGAGAATCCAGCATTGGACAAGTTTCAGATAAACCAGGCTACTGAGATTTGCGAAGCCAGACGGAATTGCTGAGGATTTGAAGTTGTTGAAAGCCAAGTTTAGCTTTTGAAGATGCTTTAGTCAAAATGGACTCAACGAATTGTTAATATTGCAAGAGATTGATTCAAAGCTCAAGTCTAGACCGATGTCCTTACCATCCTCATCGCACATCACACCATTCCAAGGACGAGCACTCTGATTCCACGTGGCCAGCCTGGAAGACACTGATGCATCGAAGACAAGGCTATTTTTCAACTCGAGCAGCAACGATTCTTGATCGCCAAGACATGGACTAGAAGCCGATACCAAATAGATTCTGAAGAAATTGGTGCATATGAGTGGCAAGAGAAGCCACAACAATTGCGAGGTTCTCATTGGATGCAAACTTCGATACTATTTTACAGAGTTTGTGAGTGAACACATACAAGGAGTTTTGTTCTTATTGGAAGCCAGATAAACATGAACCTCCTTGTACGGGATTTCAATGGAGCTGTGTTTGGTCTAATTCTTATCACATGGTATCATTAATTTTTTAGTCCCTATGCGCGACTATCTTAAGTTGACTTGACTTATGAATGCAAATTCATCAAACCACTTGATTGAGCCAGTGGCGGTCTTCGGTGGTTCTTGACTGTCGATGAAGAAAAGCCAAAGAAAGAAAAAACAAGAGCATCTCTTTCCCTTGGACATCATTCCCTCCCTTTCTACAGTACAAGTTCCCTCCTAGAGAGCAGATATTCATATCGCTTCCAATTTACATCTACAAGGTTCATTGTAATCAGGACCTGATTTTCTGTTTAATGTTCACTATTGGGAAAATAAGGAAATTAAAGATGGAGCTCTCAGACTCGTTTACATGTTACATTTGGACCGGCAAAAGAACACTACAAGTGCCATAACTTGTGTACGGCGCTCACTTTGGTGCTATAAGTTTTTTTGGATCACTTTAGTGCTAAAATTTTTGAAAAACGATCACTTAAGTGCCAACTCCGGTGCCGTACACAATTTTTCGCCGGAAATCCGACGTGGCATTTTTTTTATTAATTTCTGAAGCTGACGTGGCTCGCCGGAGATTGGCACTTAAGTGATCGTTTTTCAAAAATTTTAGCACTTAAATGATCGTTTTTAAAAAATTTTAGCACTTAAGTGATCGTTTTTCAAAAATTTTAGCACTGAAGTGATCCAAAAAAAACTTATGACACTTAAGTGATCGTTTTTCCTCCGACTTGGCACCAAAGTGATCCGAAAAAAAGTTATGGCACCAAAGTGATCTCCGTACACAAGTTATGGCACTTATAGTGTCCTTTTGCCCATTTGGACCCATCTTCGCAAATTAAGGAAAATGAAGACATTGGTCCGAGGAGATCAACTGTAAAACTAAGTGATCTGTGTTTCTTGGTCTTTACTTTTGCATTCTTTCCCATATGTCAGATTTTACTCCTTACAAACTAAGGTCAAGTCCTTATTGTGCCTATTGAATTTACGATTAATGGTTGACAGTTTCTCTGATTATCCTGTCTCATGATTCAGAGCTAAGCTCCTAAGGTACTTCATTTCTGCCTTTTAAATATATAAGCAATATGTTGGGATTTCGAGCAGCGGTGCACTGCTACTGTTACCGTTCCAAGCTCGTCTTCACTAATGTAAACCTCGTAAGGTTGCAAGATTCTTCAATGATCTCCCTAAGGACGTCAGGTTTGATATTGGCTCGAGCTATTTGACCGAGTAATTTGGGCGAGTGGCCAGATACCACCAGAACAAATGGCGCGTGAAATGGACCGGGATCGAGCGCGAGTACTTTGGCAACCCTTGGTCCGGCTACTGCTTTCATTCTCTTTGTTTTTACTGTCATTAAGGCCTTCTTTGCTACTTACAGATATCATCATCCCAAGAATTAACCAACCTTAACAACTCAGTTTCGTAAACATAATTAGAGAAATCTTATCAGAGCAATGAAATTTGTTACATGCTCGGTTTCATTTCTTGATATCGCTTCCGCTGCTACCCTTAATTTAATTTAGATTGCTTGAAACGTATATCTTCGTTGTAGTTAGATCCTGTGTGACCACGTAGAACTACTCCGTGACACAATTTAACGTACGATGGAGAGCATTATATTACTGTTAGGATTTAACATTTCCAGAGAACTTACTAGATCTTAATGCAGCCAATCGAAATTAGCAGACTGTATTTCATGTACAACATGATAGTTGACAGAAAAGCGGCAGTAATCACTAATCAGACCATTGATGAAGTAGTCAAACTCTAAAGCTGCATGCACCACCTGTGGTCCGGTTTGTCCATTCTTGATGAATTTTTATATCAGCCAAACTTGACAAATGTTCTTGATTGAAGCACTTTCCTTCAGTAGATAGACATAACAGGTCTTAAAATTCTTAATTTAATCACCTTCTCCGTTAACCATTGACAATTATGGAGAGGAAACACATTAAACTACTCCAATCATACGACCAAAGTATGTGCAATAGCTTTTAGTTGACTTGACTAGAGAATGCAAAATTGTCGTTTCGATGGTGCTCGATGATCTGCTGATTTCTGAAATTCCGTTTACGACAAAAATGGAATTTGTTCATTCAACGGTGAATACATAACTTTGGTTGTAAATTCAAAACATTTTTCATAAGTAAAACATGACCAATAATTTGTTAGTTCAGTCAACTTTTTTTAAAAATTACTAATTGATTAACAATTTTATGATCAACAATTCCAATGGCACCACTTATTTTTGGATTTTACAAGTGGGCGCATAATTAATTTGTAAGTTATCAGTAAAATAACAAGCAAATTAACATTTCTTAATGGCGTTTAATCCACATGAGCCACAGGAGAAAAAATTCATCACTAGAATGGCCCAAAGTTGGACAGAGACCCTTGTGCAAAAGTATGAGGACCATTTTGAACAAAAGAAAAGTAAAGGAACGAATTTGAATTTCAAGCAAGAGTATAGGGTTCTGATGGCATTTTCCTTCTGTCCTACTATGTAGGCTATTGTTTGTGATAGCTGCTTTGAAATTTTTTTCCTGTATAATATCCTTCTAGTTACAAAGAGGATAAGTTTTTGGACAATTCTTGTAAGACCCCGGGTCTACACTGTGTAATATTATCCGCTTTGGGCCCACTGATCCTCACGGCTTTAAAACGCGTTACACAGATGTAAAACCCCAAGCCTTATAAGCCGGTCCAGGACTCCCCCTAGGCGATGTGGGACAAGAGAGGCTCCCCCTCCCTTTCCTGCGCACGTCTGAGGACCGAGGCGCGGACGCACCGCCATCCCTCCTCCCCGCGCACCGCCGCTTGGGCCGTCACAATTCTAGTGTTTCGTGAAACAAAATACGGAACATTGTTTCGTGTTGTTGAATTCGTGAAACAGATAACAAATGTAAAACCCCATTGGTAGCAAATGTTGACGGGCGATTTGCTTGTCTGTCTCACGTTATTAACTTACAACCATTTTTAGAGAAGTGCCATCATTATTTGATTCTTTCAAATTATCGACTATTCCAAAAAAAAAAATTACCAATATTTAATTTCTTAAGTTATCAATGTGTTAAAGTTAATAACTTTTACACGAGACTACAATACTTAATTTCAGTTACTCATCAACGTTTATTTTACTTTTTCAATTTACCAACCCTCTCAACGAGTCAAATACTAGCGTGATAAACTTACCACGTAAGAGTCTATAATTTTATATAAGAGTTAGCTTCATACTTTGGCAGATTTATCGGAATAATTGCTAATCAATAAATAATCAAATTAATGTTTGTAACTGAGTTTAAATAAAGTTAATAATTACATATTAAAGTTTGTAACTTAAGTTCCACCAATAAATAATAGTAATTGTTGGAATAGTTGGTAATTTTAAAAAGAAATGATAATTTCTTATAAGAATTGGTAAATTTAACCCATTGTTGAGCTCCCAAATTGATAATCATAGGGCATCCAAACAGTATGAAATAATGAAAAAAAAAAAGTTGGTGGGTAGGCTCCAATAAAAGTCGGTCGCTCAAACAACCTTGTGATAAGTTCTTCACATTTTCCCACCATCACCAATCATCGCTGGTGGGGGCCTTGCTCGCGTCTCTCGCGACCCACCCTTGTCTTCTACATTTTATTTTCTTTTTTTTAGAATATAATTAATTTCCTTTGATTTTAACATTATTGAATTTTACTTTTTTGATAACAAGAAAAATATCATCTTAGCATACCACATCTAACATACTAAGAGTTTTTTAAGAAGGACTTGATTGAGAATTGGGTAGAGTTAGAGGAGTTGATTAAAAAAAAGAAGAAACAATTGAAAGATCCAATTGCACAAGCAACAGAAGTGTAAATACCCTAGACGCGGATCAATGAACAGAATGTCTTTCTAAAGGTGATGGAGAATTATGAAGAGAAGAACAAAGGCAAATGCTCTTTTTCAAGTTTGATAACTGAACCTCAGCAGAATTTTCATGGACGTGAGTGTTTGAAGAGCACTTTATCCCAAAACCGATAGTAAGCAAACCTCCACGATCTTATAAACGTTAACGGACCACAAAATACCCAGAAGCCAACCACGAATCCAAGCGGTATACCCATGTAAAACCACTTCTTCTCGCTATCATCATTGTCACCGCCGTCCTCTATGTCGCTTTTAGTTGGAGCACAACCCGCTTCTTCCATCCCGTTCGTGGCAATTGAGCAAGTTTTCTCGAGCGGAAAGCAACTTGTTTCCAGTGGTGGTCCACACAATCCGGCATTGCCTTCGAAAGAACTTGCTGAAAAGGTGAGAAATTGTTTGACAGCTGGGATGCTTCCCTCAAGTTTATTGTATGAGAGGCTCAGGAAGGAAAGAAAATTAAGGTCTGAAAGCTGTCTGGGAATCGTCCCATTGAGGTCGTTCCTCGAAAGGTCCAAGGACTCAAGCTGTTGCAAGTGTCCAAGGGACGAAGGAATTGACCCTGAGATTGCATTGTTTGATAAGTTGAGGGCATGAAGCGCTTTGAAAGCCCCCAGAGTATCAGGTATTGGACCTTCGAAGTTGTTGCATGAGAAGTCGATTGAAGTGAAAACAGTCAAGATCTTCACCAGCTCCACTCGCCGACCTTTGATGGTGACGCTTACCGTGTCCTGATAATAGAGTCCAAGAGCGCGAAGGACTTGATATTGGATATAATTGAAGTCTACATCAGCCTTCATAGCCTCCCAAGTTCTGAGGTATTGAGCAGGCAGCGTGCCGCTGAAATTGTTGGAAGATAGGTCAATGATTTGAAGCATCTGCCAAGTGCAGGGACTATGCGGACATCCAATTTCCCCGTGCAAATTGTTGGATCGTAACACAAGGACACGGAGACTTGATATAGCTTTGAAATGGCATGGAAATGTCCCTTGTATTTGATTTTCCCCAATGTTCATAACCTCCAACATCATGCAATTTGCCAACGACAACGGAATCTGGCCCTGCAGGAAATTCTCACTAATATCCAATGTCTTCAGACCGCATGTTGCTGGGATGTTTTGTGGAATATCGCCACTCAACTGGTTATTCCTCAAATTCAATACCTTGAGGGATGCCGTTATTAAACAATCAGGAATAGTTCCGTTCAGATGGTTATGCGATAAATCAAGCACATCAAGATTAACTTTGCAAATTGACTTCGGGATGGACCCATGGAAATTATTCTTCGAAAGGGAGAAGAACATCAAGAATAGTAGGTTGATGTCATTCGGGATAACAGCATTTATTTTGTTACTTGAGAAATCCAAGTATGAAGCATATGGCAGCAAGGGTGGCATATTCCCCCGGAGCATGTTTAAATGGAGGTCGACAACATTTAGAGCAAAAGTAAGATTGCCCAGAGGTGTTTCCAAATCTTCAAAGAGATTAGAGGAAAGATTGAGATAATCAAGATTTCCTAGTGTCCATATCCATCTCGGTATATCCCCTTTTATACAATTGTTGGAGAGGTCGAGGAAGATCAATCCGGACTGGTTAGCCAAAAACTGAGGCAATGTCGTCAACTGGCAGGAAGCCAAATATAAGTCTTGAAGGTCAGGGAATGAAGAGGCTTGGGAAGCCGTGTTTGTGGCATCAATGGAAAAACCATTGTAGGAAAGATCCAAATAAGAAAGATTTCTCAGCTGCTGAACCAAATTAATGTGGAATGAGCCACTGAAATTATTGGAAGAAAGTGAGAGGTACACGAGCCCTCGGAGTTCCCATATAGACATCGGTAGTTCTCCTCCCATATTGTTATTGCTCAAACCAAGTGCTTTCAGCATGTGCAATGGAGCATTAAAAAATCCCTTCAATTGACCAGAAAATCGGTTGTTGGAAAGTAGAAGCTCCTGAATCGATGGATGTGTAAACAGAGATGAAGGAATATTTCCTTCAAGTAAATTGGAATCCAGGTAGAGAATAAGAAGACTCAAGAGGGATTCCCATTGTGTTGCATCAATCGGACCAGTCAGACTGTTGTTGGACAAAATGATATTTGTCAGATTCTTGGACTCGCAGAGTGATGGAATTGAACCCGTAAAATTGTTGACTGACAAGTCCAAATAAGACAGTCGTGAGAGATTGGTGAGAGAGCTTGGGATATTTCCATCAAAGCTGCATTGCCTCAATTCTATTCTTGACAGATTCCTGAGATTACCAATTGAATCTGGAAGCCTCCCGGAAATATTCGTGTCACTCAAAACCAGTGTCTCAAGAGAACTATCCTCCGGAAAATCGGGCAAAGAACCCCGAAGGAGCTTGTTGGATGATACGTCAAGGGTCTGAAGTGTTTGTACCTGGAAGATTTTTTGAGGAAATTCCCCCTGCAGGCCACAATCACTTAGGTGCAGTGTTTTCAAGCTGGAAAAATTCGCTAAGAAACTGGGAACTGTGGTGGACAAGTTGTTGCCATTGAGTTGAATGACCGACAGATTAGCCAGACTCATAAGAGAAGCGCCTATAAGACCAGACAGAGAACAGTAAGACATGCTCAACACCTCAAGTTTCGGCGCTGAAGAAGACAACGCGTCGCACCACTCACTTCCCTCAGCAGACACATTGACCCCATCAAGGTACAGCTCTCTCAACTCCCCCAAATCCCCAATCAGCGACCTCAAAGAGGGCTTCTCAAGGAACAGCAGATTCGATCCAGAGTAATAAATGCTAGCGAGATCAAGAGTACGTAGCTTTGTCAGGCGCGATAGCTCCGCCGGAATCTGCCCGTCAAATCTGGCATTGGACAAGTTGAGATGTACCAAGCGGCTGAGATTCGCGAGGCCGGACGGAATCGCTGAGCAGTTGAAATCGTTGAACGCCAAGTTCAGGCTTTGAAGGAACTCGAGCCTGAAGAGGCTCGACGAACCGTTGATTCCGCCAGAGATCGACTCACTGCTCAAATCGAGTCCCACGACGAGCCCGTCCTTGCACGTCACGCCGCTCCATGAATCAGCGCTTCGGTCCCACCGTACTAGCTTGGACGACGCGGAGGTGTTGAAGACAAGGCTGTTTCTCAGCTCGAGCAAGAGCGATCTCTGGTCGACTCCGGGACACCGGGCTGGAGCTGAAGCCCCAGCAACGTCGGAGAAGATGGAGATGGTGGATATCGCAAGAAGAAACCATGAGATGATCGAACCGTTCATCGGAAGAGGTTGAGGAAGAGAGCGGGAAGAGGGAACAGGGAAGAGAGACTCAATCGAAACAAAGTCGAACACTTTGGGAGTGGCTGGAGGAGTCGTCCAAGGAAAGTGCAAAGCCTGTATTGTGTTGATATTTGGGACGTCATCATTAGTCACCAAAGTCTGACTTATTTCACTTTCCACGATACTAGCGCAAAGGCCATATTTTTATTTTCAAGGAGAAAAGGGACAATAAAATAAATCTGCCTAAAATGTTGAGATTAGAACTTGACATCCCTTGGAAATATTTTTGGCTTATCATATTTGAAGATCATAAAACAAATGATATTATGTGATCGGTTTTGTTTTTGCACATCACATTAACATGCAAGATCCATTAAAAGTAAATAATGATATATATCATAGGATTTGATCATAACACCAAAGTTCATATATTATATTCTATTTCTTTCATTAAATAAGTAGATTCAAGAAAAGAAATAAAACGATTTACTTATATTTGGATTTGATTGTAAATGTTCTATAATACTATCTAAAAGCAAAAAAAGTATAAAATATAGAATCAGAAAATACAATGAATTAATTATGAAATATGAATTAGAAAAATACAGTAATATGTTCCAAAATAGAATGAATAACCAAATAAGCAAAAACTAAGAATAAATTTCTCTTATATTAAACTGAAAGGAAAAAATAAGAAGAAAAAAGAAAGGAAAAAGGCATATGTAAAACGATGAAAAATGGGCACTATCTTTAGTTCGAGCGGTATAAAGGAAAATAAAAAGAGGGAAAAATCCAAAAATATTTTAAAAAATTTAAAGAAAAAGCGAACTGCAGGCACATGGAATTGATCCATCGTGCACGCCGGGATCGTACCATGGTCCACCTCCACTGGGCTATTACCTTACTAAGCTTACTTTCTATTCCTTTATGCGACTTTAATTTAATATATATATGTGTGTGTGGGCGTTGGCTGAAGCAACAATCGACGTACAACGTATGGCAAATGCTGATAGTCGCCCCGGGTTTTCTCTTTTGGTATTGGACATTAATATATTTAAGGTTCTCTTCCTTCTTTTTTTCTTTGTTTCTTTGTGAGTTTTGCTATGCTAAGAGTGGTCCGAGAGAGATTTTTTGGGCTTTTGTTTTTTTTTTTTATTGTGCAGTCAAGTGCCGGGTTAGCTTACAATAAAACTCAAAACCAAGACCATAAGAAGATGAGCAAACTTCCTTACTATTTAAGACAACACCTTAGTGTTAGATTTTTAATGTAATTAAATTGTCAAATCTTACAACAAGAGAAAGAGACTCTATTGAGTAATTCATACATAAAAATCTACGCTCAAATGAGCACCACATTAGCTATGCTCTATATCTTCTCCAAATGAAAGAAAAAATGAGCACCACATTGTATGTTTACTTACACACTTCTTGAGTGCTTGTCCTGCATGAAATGGGTCGGATAATTGCTAGGCCTTTTAAAATGGATCATAAACTCATTTCTTAACCCATATTGAATGGGCTGAGTCATTATATGGATTAGCTGTGTTCAGTAAATGTGTTATAAATGAGTTTATAATTAAAAAACCCAAAAAGATATGTGTGTCAAATGGTTTCACAGTTTACCCAAACCCAACCCACATTTGTGACTCTCTCTTTGCCCTTAATGGGAAAATAATGGACTCCTCAAACTGTTCCAAGTTCAAAAAAGTCTTGGTGGGCACGCAAGATGAGCCCGACTTCACCTTTATTAAAAATATCAAGACAGCTTCTTTTTTCTCATTATTTTTTATTTTTATTAATATTGTAAGTTTCGCCTATTAGTTGTTGGAGTATATCTTTCCTTTATTGCATTTGGCATTGTCATTTTTATATAATATTCTAATCTTAGTTCTTGTCATTACAATCCATTGTCAGTATAAATTATCTTATTCAATATCTTACAGTTCATTTAATTAAAATTTCAATTCCTCCGCGTTGTTTGTTGCTTTAATTTTATAAATTCACTATCAAGTACTAACTTTCTCTCATTCTTCATTGTGAATCGGTATAAAAATAAAAAAATTCTATGCAATGCTTATAGTCTAAATAACGATTTTATCCAACTAACATATACACATGAAGAACTTAAAGTGGGTTAACTAGGTGGATACGGATTTTCATAGGATGAATTAAACATGAAAGTATTTTAGTAAATGTGGTTGAGTATGTGTATGAGTTACTAATGGTAGAAATCTAACTTGAATTGCGGCAAGCTAAACTAAATCACCCCAATGTGCTCAACTTAGGCTACTTGATGAATAAATGATCGACTCGGGCACTCACAGCTACCTAGACACTTGACAATGACTTCGCTCATTTATGACGCTCGCAATTGCAAGAAAGTCCAACACATCTATGGTACGTAGGTGTTGTAGATTGGAGCACTAATGGCACAATAGAAAACTCTATTTTGTGTTTTTATTCATTTGGAGTTGAAAAAGGACAAAAAAACATAAAATAGAAAAACACAAAAATAGACTAAGAACAAAACCAACAAACCAACAGAAGTTTGATCTTGACAAAGAAGCAGAACCAATGACCACGATCAAGAAGGATGCACGAAAGAGTGAAGCTAGAGAACAAAGAGGCTCGACTTTTGGTAGAGTTAACCAGCACAAGGATGTTTGCGACATGACTGATGAGGCCACAGAGAAAGGACAACTTCCTCTGACGACGAGGGAGAGTCCATCGACTCACGAGATCGAGCTACCTCCGGAGACAACGTGAGCGACAAGTAGATGCCTGCCAAGGGAAAATTTCATTTTGGTACCTCAAGTGGAAGCGTTTTTTTAATTTAATACCCAAAATGAACACGGTGTCAAATAAGGACCTGAAATGCCCAATTAATCTCAAATAAGGACCCGAAGTGCCCAAAAAGTCTCAAATAAAGGTCTGGGTCACCGGCCGGCCAAAATTGCCTGTCGGCCGGCGATAATGTACTGTTCCGGCACCGGAACATTACTTTTTAATTATTTTTTCCTTTTTGTTTTTCCTTTTCCTTTTCTTTTTTTTTTCTTCTCTTCCTCCGCCGGCCCCGGCTATGGCAGCGGAGGTCGCCGCCTTCTCCGAGGCGGAGCGGCCCTCACGGCGTCGGGCGAGGCCGCCTACTCGCCTGGGGCTGAGGGCGAGTCGGCCTCGCCGGTTGCCCCGGCGAGGTCGAGGCACAGGCCGGATCCGGCAAGGGCTCGGCCGCCGTCGCCGGGCGAGGCGACCTCGCCCAGCAGCGGCGAGGTCGGTCTTGCCTGCAATAGCGAGGCCGGCCTCGCCCGACGCTGGCGAGGTCGAGCCTCGCCAGCGACCGATGGGGCCGAGCCCTCGCTAGATCTGATCTGGCCAGGCTCGACCTCGCCGGCAACTGGCGAGGCTGACCACGCTCAGCCCAGGCGAGGGCGGCCCTCGCCCGACGCCGATGAGGGCCGCCTCAGCCTGAGGCGGGCGACCTCCGCCGCCATAGCCGGGGCCGGCGGAGGAAGAGAAGAAAAAAAAAGAAAAGGAAAAGGAAAAAAAAAAACGAAAAGGAAAAACAGAAAGGAAAAATAATTAAAAGTACTGTTTAGGTGCCGGGAACAAGACATTATCGCCGGCCGGCCAGTAATTTGCAACCTGCAACGACCCTTATTTGAGACTTTTTTGGCACTTCGGGTCCTTATTTAAGACTAATTTGGCACTTTAGACCCTTATTTGACACCGTGTCCACTTTGGGTACCAAATTGAGAAAACGCTTCCACTTGGGGTACCAAAATGAAATTTTCCCGCCTGCCAATGAAGCACTATTCATGATGAAGACTTGTTGCGGTTGCTGTCGAAGATGAAAATACTCAAATATTACATCTTTACTTTAATAAGTTACAATCAAGGGGTATTTATATCCGAACAATATATACAAGAAAGGAAGTAATCTAATCTAATGAGGATATTAGTTGTCCTAGGAGATAATGAAATGTCAAACAAAATCCTTAACATCTAATAATATTTCTAACAATATCTTTTAATATTGAATTCTCTAATATTCATAAATATAAAGCCCATAAAAATGACGACCTGGGCGAGAGGGATCTGGAAAATGTTGTGCGAAATGGGCAATATCAAAAACAGGGAATTGCGGGGAGGAGGGGGAGGAGAACAGGGGATGGTACAGATTGGAAACAAGGAGCAGTCAAAGTAAACGCATGCTGGTGGGGACGATTCTGTCTAGTGTTAACGTTCGCTGTGAGACTGATGATGTTACTTGCTCCGTTCTCATCCACGTTGTAGGGAATAGGAGCAGAAACGCGTTTGTGTCAAAAAGCTTTTCTTTATTTTGGGTGATGTTACTTGCTCTGTGGACTAGAGACAGCCTCTGATGCTTTCAGTCACTGTCCTTTTACCGTCATTTAAGAGCCCCTTCATTGCAAACTTGACCGGAGAACGCAAAATTATTGTTTCAGTGCTGGTAGGGACTATTCTGCCTAGGGAAAACGTTTGTTGTGGGACTGATGATGTTACCCTTTTTTTTTTTGGTCGAAACTGATGATATTACTTACTCTGCGGACACTTGTTTAGGGAATAGGAGCAGAAACGCGTCCGTGTCTGTCGGCTTTTCTTTATTGCTTTGCAGATTTCTTGGTGTCAATTTATGTTAGGCGGGCCAGACCAAGGAAAATCATACCTCAATGGATAGGATAAGACTAGCTTAGGGAATTGGTATATAAGCTATGGTTAGTGATGAAAATAGAGATGGTTAAATAGTGCCCAAATCCAAAGGGTGGTTCAATATTAGAACGATTGAGATATTGCGCTTTAAAAAGCAATGGATTTTATATTTGGTCCATACTCATGGCAACCACCAGAGCCAAAATTGAATCGGAGATGGATTTGGTTTTCATAGGAATGTGCCGTTTTTCTTGGATCGGAGATAATTGACGGACAAAAGGTTGTTGAAAATATCGCATGACCCCTACTAATAGAAAGTACCTTTTGATCGCTTGTTAAAGCTTGATAACTAATTGAAAACGAAAATTTTCTATCGATTGATGGCTATCTTTTGTTAATGTGTGCTTGTGTCCACTTAAGTGTTCCAACTATTTTAGTA